TGCGAGTTTGGCCGCACTAAGATACTATACTTGGGTCATGAAGTATCCGCGGAGGGAATTAGGCCGGAAGATGCGAAGGTGGCTAGTATTCGAGACTGGCCACGACCTCAGACAGTCACTGAGGTCAGATCATTCTTAGGAATGTGCGGCTACTATAGGAACTTCGTCAAGAACTATTCTACAGTCGCCTCTCCTTTGACTGATCAAACTCGACTTGACACACCATGGGACTACAGTGATGAGTGCGAGGGTGCTTTCAAAAGATTGAAGCATGCACTCATGAATCATGAAGTTCTCATGGTTCCCGATCCGCAAAAGTCGTTCATAGTGACCACTGACGCAAGCCAATACGGCATTGGCGTAGTGCTGGTTCAACAGGATGGGAAAAATTTGAGACCGATTGAGTACATGAGTAAGAAGATGCCATCGAAGAAGCTGGCTAAGTCCACCTATGAAAGGGAACTCTATGCTCTCTACAAAGCACTTGTCCATTGGAGACACTTCCTTTCGGGAAGGTTCTTCTATGTGAGGACTGATCATCAGACCCTCAAATGGACCAAGACTCAACAGGCTCTTTCTGATGCACTCAAGCGATGGATTGAGGTCATAGACCAATATGACTTCAAGCTTCAGTACCTGAAGGGAGAGTACAACAAGGTTGCAGACGCGCTATCCCGTAGAGCAGACTACCTAGGTGCGCTAGTTTCTGAGTTTGGCGTATCTAACGAAGTAACTCAATCATTGGTGGGAGCCTGCCTATCAGGAAGACCCTGTCACGATGGACATCATCCGCAAACTTCAGGCAAAAGACAAGGCCACAGAAAGTGAGTTTGTGATGGTGGATGGGCTAATCTACCTTAATAAGGCCGGAGTAAAGAGATTGGTAGTTCCATCTAGTGAACAGTTGCGTAGTTTATTTCTAGGCAAATGTCATGACGCAACTGGGCACTTTGGCTAAAAGAAGACGAGTGCTAACTTAGTACATCGATTTTGGTGGCCCAGAATGCTAGATGATGCAAAGAAATATGTTGAGAGTTGTCAGGTCTATCAACGGGACAAGCCACGAAGTCAAGCACCGCTTGGGTTATTGAAGCCTTTACCTATTCCTGATGGTCCAGGATTGAGTGTTTCCATGGATTTCATGGACACTCTTGTGACCAGCAAGAGTGGTAAGAGGCACATTTTCGTCATCATTGACCGATTCACCAAGTACGCTAGACTAGTACCAATGCCAGAGACAGCCAGGACTGAATACGTCATCAAGTTGTTCAAGGACAACTGGGCAAGGGACTTTGGTTTACCAAAGACCATCATTAGTGACCGAGACGTCCGATCTACAAGTGAGCTGTGGAAGAAGACTGCGGAACAAATGGGCAGTCAACTTCAGATGACTTCAGGGAATCATCCCGAAGCCAACGGACAGGCCGAAAAAATGAATAGAGTTGTACAACACTTGCTGAGGCACTACATCAAGCCCAACCAGGAAGACTGGGATGAGCAATTACCTCTCATCGCCAGCCTGTACAACAATGCTATACATAGCAGTACCGGCGTTAGTCCTAACCAGCTCCACTTAGGATGGAAGCCTAGATCAGCACTAGACTTCCTCCTACCAGAAACGGACCCGCTGCAACTCCAGGCACACTTGAATACGGTGTGCAATATGAGAACCTGCTGCAAGAGGCTGTTGAACACGTGAAGAAGGCTCAGCAAGCAATGATTGCCTCTGATAATCAACATCGCAGACAGTCCACATTTCAGGTAGGGGAACGTGTATGGGTCAAGGCTAGTGAGCTAGGACAKGAGTTYGGAATATCTCGCAAACTAATGCCYCAGTACTTTGGTCCCTGGGAAGTCTTGGATGTAGTGGGAGATGAAATGGATGGTCCTACGTACGTCATTCGTGTCCCTGGTCATCTACGAACTCACCCAGTCTTTCATGCCTCAAAGCTTGCACCTTTCGCTGAGACTGATCAATTCCCTTCGAGGAGATCGATGCTGCCCCCAACCATGGATGGACAAGTCGACCTCAATGACATTGTGGATCACAGGGACATGCCTGTTGCGAACCCGCTGGGTCGAGGAAGACCTCCTAAACCCAACAAAGAATATCGTGTCAGATTCAGGCATCACACGGATCCCAAAGAAGATCGGTGGTTTACCAGGGAGGAATTGATTGAGACAGCTCCTCAAGTGGTGGCAGAGTATGAAAGGAATCTGAAAGGGAAGGCACCTGCGAAGTAAGCATCTCAGCGGACTTTCGAAGCTAAGGGGGATGGAATGTGAAGAATGAGCCCTCAAGAAGGGGCCTTGCCATGATGTACATGTTCTGGGTTAAGGCCCCAGCAAACCTCTTGCCCGCCCTAAGTGAAGGCTGACCAGCAAATCAAGAATGGCCCTCTGTGCATACATTTCATGAAGTGGGGTCCTTACAGTTGTAGCACGCCAGTTGGTTGGAGTGCACCGAGTTTCGGATCTCAGCAAATGCTGAAATGCCCAGGGCCTCTGAGTTAGTTAGGCCCTGGGCACTCGAATGTGAGGCCGACAATGCATGCTGGGTAGAGAAGCCGAAATGCCAAAGGGAAAATCGGCCCACTATTTGAATCTGGCCGCAGGCCTTGATGAGAGAGGCGCAACTGCATTGCTTTGGCGCCCAATTGTATCGGGTAGGTTTCAGCCTCTGGGTCCCGGTCGCAGGATGAAGGGAGGCCGCCCACACGCTGCATTGACATATAGGCAAGCAGAGCGAGGCAGCAGGGATCTTGGCCAATGCTGGCACCTGCGGGCACGCTGCGCGGATGCATGTGTGCTGCGCTGTGCAAGGCAGTGCTGCGCTAAGAGCAGGCAGGCCAGCTCTAGGTGGTAGGGCGTTGCCTGCATACAGGGCGCTTGGCGGCCATAGCCGGGCTGCAGAGGGCGCAGAGAGGTGAAGGGCGAAGGTGGTCTTCGGAGGTGAAGGGCGCTGTNACAGGGCGCTTGGCGGCCATAGCCGGGCTGCAGAGGGCGCAGAGAGGTGAAGGGCGAAGGTGGTCTTCGGAGGTGAAGGGCGCTGTGTGGGTAACCACGGAGATTGTGGGGAAGAGGGCACATACCTGATGATGGTGGAGATACAGCATTGGTGTTGACATCATCACTCGTCGGTAGTCAAGTTGTCTGGTTGCTTTTCATTGCTGTAGTTGTAGGATAGGCTGTAGAGTAGATAGGGCGCCTTACGCCATTCACAAGAGAGAGCTACATTTGGGTTATGCTGTTGGTGTTGCCCTGTTGGGCATGGACATTGACTCTCGATTCGTCTGTATCATTCTCAATTCGATGGTTACTCGGTTCCATTGTACTATCTGCTTTGGCTTTGAATACGTGGACTTCAGTGTGATATTGCATTCTGGATTTCTGTGCTTCGTTCATACTCATGTTCCTTGCACAAGAATGTTTTGACATCCTGGTTGGTCTTGTCCCGTCGTTAGGCCTTTGTAGGACTGGCGCGGTGCTTGCATGTGGGACTTGTCATCTGGGATCTGTTTTGTTGCCCCCTGTTCTGTTTTATTTGGTTGTTCCCTTCCTCTTTTCTTTGCCTCTTTGCCTTTTGGCTGTGTGCAAGTGGGTCGATATGACACACGGGGGTGGGGGCAGCCGCCGCTCAACCTACATCCACGTGGGCGGCCTTGTACGCAAGTGGTTCTGAACAGGGAAGGAATTAGATAAAAAACTGAATTCAGTTTTTCCTGTTTTTTCTTTCTTTTTTTCTTTTTGTTCGCATTTGCGCTCTGATACTCTTGTGACAATATATATCAGGGGTACCCTATCTTATTCTCGTAAATCTATCACTCTGTCAAGATCAGTCGAGATCGACGATTCTTGAACTAGAGGAACCGTCGATACCGACGAAGTCAATCATCGATTGATTGATTGATTGATTGATTGATAGATTGATTCAACGATTGATTGATTGATTGTTTGATTCACAAACGTCGTTTTCGCACGCCTCTTGCCCGCCCCCACGCCACATTCCATCAATCAATCAATCAATCAATCTATCGACGGATCTTGAAGGAAACGATCCATCGAGATCGACGGATTGATTGATTTATTGATTGATTGCGAGCGGGAGTGGGCGGATGCGGGCGGAGGCGGGAGGAGGTGTGGGCGGAGGCGGGGAGAGGTGCGGGTGGATGCGGGAGGAAGCGGGAGGATTTGTGGAGGCGGGGAGAGGTGCAGGCGGAGGCGAGAGGAGGAGGTGGGCGGAGGCGAGAGGAGGAGGTGGGCGGAGGCGGGAGGAGGTGGCGGGCGGAGATTGGCGGAGGCAGGCGGAGGCGGGG